GCAAACTTACAAAGCGATTGAAGCTGACCCAGTTCGGATGCACCTCGCGGCAAGAAGTGCATTGTACCTTGAAGGTGTAGAAGTATGGCTGTTCCTCCGTGTCCTTTGGCCGAAGGTCGGTGACCCTACATTCAGTGATGAGCTACTGTCATGATTTAGGCGTGCGGGGAAACTGATATAGGCAGAGAGAGGCAAATCGAGGGATGAAGGAAGGATATATATGACCCGCTTGTGCTATCTTACCCCGTAAGCTCAGCAGAGAGGAGAAGTGAAAGCATTTTGGCGTGATTCGAGTCTTATCAGCCTTTTTTAAACAGAAGCTTGCAAGTGAGAAACGTGAGGCAGAGGTCTTTAGGTGGGTATGTTCTGTGCGGGGTGATTGGTGAGGGTGATGTAGTTCTAGAAATTCCATCGTCTTCGGTCCACTGCCTTACTGATAAGATTGACCGCCCACATACACCCACTGCAGGAATTCTTGTATCTTACTGAAAGCTTTATTTTGGCTATCTTCTATTGAAAATTGAAAAGAAAAGCGTATTACATGGATATCAACGCCAGTAATGCAAGTGGTCATCGCTCGTCCAGAACGAATCATAAGACCAAAAGGGAAAGACAATGGACACATCAAAATTCAAGATACACAGCATTGCAACCGAATAAATCCGCTTACAGACGGCTTTGCTGGTCCTGGCCAAGAGGCTTTGTGGAGAAGGAGTTGAAGTATGCGTTGAGAGCATCAACAGTGCCGCTGCCTTCCACCAATTGCACGGTGCAGGCAACGTGGCTGTCGGGACGAGTGACAACAACACCTCCCTTCTCGGGGTCGAAGCCAAGCTTCTCATGGGCGGCAAACTTGGCGAGAGGCACGCGCACGTCGGGAATGTCGTCGGCATAGATGTGGTGGTGGTAATCGCGGAGGATCTGAGGGATAGCCTCCACATCGACCTCGTTCTTCTGAGCAGCGTAAATCAGGCAGATAGAGAACAGCTTGGAGTGAGGCAGATGGTGCTCAAAGAAGGAGATCTCATCGATGCGGCGGTAAGAAGACAGGAATGACCGCTCCTTTTCAAGGTTGGCACCAAAGTCCGTGATCGCCTTCTTGGTGTTCGCCTGTTTACCGGCGAAGATGAAGATGCGGAATGCTCCATTTGCAGGGATTTCCTGCTCGAGGTGCACAAAGTTGGCATCCGCCAAGCGGGTCACAGTGGTGGGAGTGAAGGCGCGGCCAGGAGTCAGCTTAACGTCAGGGATGTTGAACAGAGGCGACTGAGCGGGATGGCTTGGACTCCAGTTGAAAACATTCGGCTTGTAAGCAACGCCGTATCCGGAGGTGAATTCGCAGGAAGACTTGAAGGTCTTGACAAACTCGTCCTCCTCACCACCAGCGGCGGCCTGGGTGTGGCTTGCGGATCCGACCTCGCCGGCTGTTGGGCGACGCTTGGAGAAGAGGGCGGCATACTTGTTGTCGAAGTTCAGCAGGGTTGCGGCAATGTCCTTGCGCTCGCTCTCGTAGGTGCTCAAAATGGAACGGTCGGCCAATCCAGATTCGACAGCGTGGAGCTTCCAGGCCATGTTGAGTGCATCGTGGAACGCTGTGTTCATCCCCTGACCAGCTTTAGGGCTGTGGGTGTGGCAGGCATCGCCTCCCATAAAGACACGCTCGTCCAGTGTATATCTCTCGGAGATACCCTGACCAATGGGGTAAACAGAATACCACTCAACGCGGTCCCACTCCAAAGTGTATGGCTTGAGAATCTTCTTTGCCGTCTCCTGGACTTCCTCGGCAGTGGCGGTCTTTCTTGGGTTGAAGTCGGGATCGGAGGAAGAGGCGATCTGGACATAGAGACGGACCATGTTGTCCTCACGGGGGATAACCATGATGGAGCCGGCGTCTGAGTGAATGGTGCACTTGGTCTATTATAAAACGAATTAGTAACTGAAACCATTTTCCTGCTGTTGAATGAAGAGGCTATTCTTACCTCAATATCAGGGAAGTTTGTTCTCACAACTCCGTCCATGACACCCCACACATAAGAGATGGGATCCTTGTGGTGGAGCTTGATGCCGAGCTGCTCTCTGACAAAACTGCGAGCGCCCTCGCCACTGAAGAGGTACTTGGTGCGAACGGTCTCGATGACGTTTGTATCAATGCTCTTGAGCGACACCTGGACGGGATAGTTCTTGTCCGCGCCATCGTTCTTGAATCCGATGATGGTCCAAGGTCTCTCAATTCTTGTGCCAGCCTTCTCGATCTCGCCAATGAAGACTCTCTCGATCTTGCCCTGGTGGACGAGGGTAGTGTAAGGGTATCTTGTGTCAATGAACCGAGGGCAGCTGGGCCAGCTTCCGCTGCGGTGGATACCCTTGCCTTCGGGAAGAGGATCCCAGAAAGCGACATCGTACACCTTAGCTGGCTTGTAAGCCATAATCTGACGCTTCAGACCCAGGTTCCGGAGAATCTCCGTTGAGCGAGGCTGAATACCATCGGCGCGGCCAGTTGCGGTAGGCACCGGGCGGTTGTCGATGTGCTTCACTTTGTAGCCCCAGCGGGACATGCAGAGAGACAGCAGAATACCAACAGGGCCGGCGCCCACGATGACAATGTCGTATTTTTCTTGTCCCTGTGTCATCTTGGTAAAGTGACTTGAATATCCTTAAACTGTTGAGTATGCGGGAGGAGGATGAGGGTCCGCCAATGACGAATCGCGAATCCAAGCAAGGAGTGTGTATACAGAGAATAATCAATAACACAGTATCACCCGTATAAAAGTAACCTTGGATCTAAGTAGACGAGATAGACAAGACACAGAGAGGTAAAAAAATAAGCCATTTCCAACAGAGTAGTAGGCGCTCATATATAATTCGAAGCAGTTGAGGTAGCGGGCCGGTGACAGGCCACAACGGCATTCAGATTCGGCTGGATCGTAGAGAGCAAGCCATGATGTGGCTCAGAGGTCATAAGCGACCCTAAGCTGCAACGCACAGGCAGGCTTGGTCCAGCAATCGAACTAGAGGGACAGGGGACTCCCCTGTAATTTGAGATTGCGGGACGTGCGGGCGTGGTGGGAGCTGGGTCTGCGGGGAGGCCGGAAGGCAGCTGGTGAGTGGTTCGAAGGGGGGTGACTAATGGAGGAATGCCGTGGTCCCTTCCGAGTCTCTGAACCTGGCTGCGGCTAGCAGGTCGGCAAGTGGATAGGACCACGTGACTTGCACACTCGGCAGCATCACCCGGGACTTCTGCGCGGTTTACCATGTCTCTGATTGGCTCCCTAGCAATGCCGACTCTATTTCCCCTTACTTTAGCTACGACGTATGAGCTGCTTGAGCTTTGAAGAATATCTACACCGTCTGAGGATCTTGAATCCGATTGGCTTTTTCGATATTCTGTTGTCCTAGTGCTCAGGAGGATTTCCGGTGCATGAATCAATGTTAGCCTTGAGTGGAATTGCGTCTGATTCCGAGATGCCGCTCTATGCGAACCAGCAAACTCCGGACGTCTTTGAGATACCGTCTATTACCATCAGTCAGGTCGTAGGCACATGAACTGATGTCCACCCTCGTTTTCGACAACACCTCTGGTCATTCCTCGTTTGTGAGCGAACAACTCCGAAGGCCGCCTACCTCTCTTCGGCGTGCGGGTATGGTGTGCTTAACATACGTTTAGCGGCTCTCTAGCCGCGTTTTCTAGTAATGTCTCTTCCCCAGGCATTGGAGTTCGGCTTCCCGGGGTATTTTGCGCTTTGGGGAGACATTCTACCACATTGAGTTCGGCTTGCTGGATATTCGCGGCTAATCGAGTGGCAGTTGCTAGATTTCTGTAGCTTCCTCATCGCCAATTGCCGCATTCTGGGTCTCTTTTCATCAGGGGATAAGAATATTTGCTCCCAATCATGTATACACATCTAAGTATGTAGTGAATATCATTATCAAAGCTCACTTCGGACTCACTTTCGCCTAAAGAACTCCAGACGTCATCCTGCTGTTTTGGGGCGTTTACAAGATCATGAATCACAAGACAAGTACAAATTGTGCAACTCAAGACCTACATCCATTAGTATTTGTTGGATCTATAGTAAGTGTCATTTGGTAATAGTATGCCCTTTGGTGAGAACTGAGCAGTTCCTGAAGCTCCCCGAGTCCATCTCTACTCAAAGGCAAAGGGGCGGAAGGGCTTTACCTCCTATACTAGATCTACATCATAATACTTAAACATATCAGACCAGATAGCTATTGCCCGTAAATACTGAAATAAGCAGTCAGTGTCATATGTCACCTGGTGGCGTCATCTTGGATCTTCGGGACATTGCCCAAAACGATGATTTTGTGTACTCCCTCAATAACTACCTAAGGTAGTCATCATCCTGTTCTGGCAATAAGAGAGAAAGAAATGCGGATCCACTAGTTCTTTGTGACCAGGTCGCTCTCTGAGCATATGGTCTTTTCTGTGATGTGTTCTTGTTGATTGTTGAAATTCCAGCGCTGAATGCCACCAAATAATGGGACAATAGAATTGTTCTATTGCTGAGAGAAATTGTTGAATATAAATAAGAGAAAAAGAAAAGAAGGAAAATTTAACAATCAAACTATAACCTTACTCTGAATAAGCATTCCCTAATGCTATTTAGGCAATGGGCAGAATGCTATTGTTGCGAGTGCACTCTCATTCACCTCAGAATTTCCAGAATAGGGCGCCAGCAACTAGCAAACCAAACCATTTTAGCCTGAGCAGATTGTCTTGAATAGATCCCTCGCACTGACAATAGCATTGTATCCAGCCAAATGAGAGGATGACTTTATCAAAAGACAATAAGATGCCAACTGCCACGAGGCTATATCAGTACCCTACGTCTTCTTCCCCTCGAAGAATCTTCTTTCGAAAAATATCGAGTCATCGCATCTGCTTTCTCTTGCAATTCCTCTGCACGTACATCATCTTGTCTCTGCTATCAAACAGCAATACATTGCCAATTCGGTCCCATCGTTCATACCGCTTCATCAAAATGAGCGACGAAACCTACGAAGTTCCCATCATGCTGAGCCCTGAGTATGATCTTCTGCCCATTTGGAGATACATATGCTAATCATTTGAAGTATCCATCTCTCCTATGAGGATATCGCCAAGCTCAATCCCTTCTATGAGAAGTACCGGGAATTCTGGAACACCTCTCCTGATACCACGGCCACCACACTCTCTTCTCTGGATACTTCGTCCAGATCCCCTTCTTTGCAGTCGGTTCATGCTAGCACTGTTGCACCACCGTCTCCTCTTGATATCTCATCTTCTCCTTCACTGCACTGCGCCGAGCCTTGTCCTGGTCCTCACCTTGCCGCAAAGCTCGATGTCCCTCTGCATAAAGGGATTCAGCGCAAGCCATCTGTTAGAGTCTACGACGAGGATATTGCCTCAAGTCAGCAAGCCACTTTTGTGCTTGAAGGGTACAGCAACCACTCCCTGTCGCCTGTGAACGAAGCAATGGAGATGTGTAATTTCCATTCGATTGATCGTCATCACTTCGGCGACTCGATTCAACAAGTGAGATCCTCTCACAAAAAGCTTTTCGGAACAAATGGCTGGCTTGGCCACGCCGATGACTTTAACACTGCGCCCCTCAAGAGACAAAAGTCGAAGATCTTCCGAGATTTCGGAAAGAAGATCAAGCATCATGTGGGAGAGATTGTAAGTGCTCATGATTACTATTTGATATGATCACGTACAGTCTCGCTAATATGATTTACAGGCTGAGGATTTGAAGGCTTACCCAAAGGCATTCGCTGGTGCACCACGGGGGCCAAGAATCGTTCCTGAGTCGGCAGTTCCCATCTCTCTGGACCCTCCTACACAGGCCAGACTGTACTCGGAGATGGAAGTTATGATCTGCGTGACCGCAAACACATTCCTCGTTCGACAATACGAAGCCGGCCGTATCTCAGAGGAATCAATCAAAAAGGTTACCAACTTCTGGGGCTCCAAGAACAGGCCTCAGGTCGTCGAATTTCAGTTCGACCAGGCCACTCAGCGTCGACTGATCTTGTCCAATATCCGAACACTGCGCTTCGACGGAGAGAGCTCGACCAACCCCATTCTTCTACACTCCAATCTTCACAACTGGAAAGCAGTGGTGAAGGAGATGAGTGTCCGCACCTTCTGCGCCCCGGACAGTGCCATTCGGAAACACATGCACGACATCCACAAGCTCCTCGACATGCTCGGTGCGGACGATGCTACCTTACTTGCTTTCGAAGAGCTTCAGATGAGCACATTGGCCTTGATGAGGCAACGTCGACAGACGAACTATCATCTTGAGCGAAGCAACAGCACCTTCTCAGGCTCCAGCAGCGGACCCACAGAAAGTAGTCGGCTCATGCACTAAACTGAATTTGCTTTGAACGAGTGGAGTTATGGCTCGACAACATGGCGAGCAGATCAACAGTTGACGCTTCATGACATTCGAGGTCTTTGCTGATTTATTTGTGCTTTCTCTTCTTTTCCAACCCTCATGTTGGCATGTACGTTATTAGGCTCTGTTTAGCGTGGCCTTGCTTTTCTTCGATACCCTCTTATAGTGAAACACTGAAAATCGATCTATTCTAACGGGAATATTTTATCGGAGCTCTCCATTGATTCATGTCTAAAAAGCGATCCTACAACAAACTGAGAACCAAGATAGTCGAACGTTGCGGTCTCCTTGTTTGTTTTGCCAACGCCCAGGCAGCCCAAAACATGCCAAAGCACGTGGCCGACGTCATAGGCTCCCGCGTAGGATCACAAGCAAATGACCTCGTGCAAATCCATCAACGGCTTTTCAACTTTCGCAGCAGGCGGTTTTATTGTTCCCGACTTTGTCTGAGAATATGTTGTAATGAGATCTATCACATATCATGACAACTTCCCGGTTGTTGGCAAACATTAAGCTCTCTCGAAGCTTTCCTTGATCCCAGTCCCTTTGTTGACACGACGCCAGCCAATGGGAAATTGACACTGTCAGCTTTGATGCTATGGCATTGGAATACCAGCCGGCAATCTCCAGCTCTAGTGCACGCAGATTCTTTCTTGGATGATTACTTAAGGCTTCCTTGTTACTGTGCCTCGCTTACAGATTCTCCTCACGAAACTAGCTGTCAAGAACATCTCACAGGATGGCTGGTCCTCTTCACACCTACGGATCGACCTGCCTTCTGGCTGACGATGATCCCGACCCTTCCACTTGGTATTCTCTGTCTGAACCGCCCAAAGTTCGAGCGCAGTTTTTCTACGCCTCTTCCTTACCGATCGATGATCCCTTGAGCGCACTGCCTCCACCGTCCAGCGGTCAAAATGCCACTAATGAACGGGCTCCACCGCAGCCATTTTCTGTCAAGGACAACATAGCGCTCGAGGAAGCGTGGCGGAATCTTCGACAAACAAGGAAGGAAAGGGCAACCGGGCCAAAGAAGCCTCCGAGTATTGTGAGAAACGCAAGTATAGCTGTACCAGGGAAGGAATCGGCCAGTGACACAGAGCGGAGTAGGCATACAGGCAGCCGTGGTGATGGGAGCCTGTCTGTGATTGACGACAATCCGCCTAATGTCCATACTTCGTCAACCAATGACCAGCCATTTCGCAGTAGCAGAGAAGAATCCAATGACGGAGTCGGTGGTGCGGGTGACGGTGCGTCATGGGCCAGATCGCAAGTTGGCTCAGCAGAAGACATTGGGTCGGACAATCACAATCAGAGGAAAAGGGAACTGTCCTTAAGCGGTCAACACAGTGCTGCAAAACGCGTTGCCAGTATACCCTCAACGAGCGAAAATCCATCAATGGGGGGATTCGAGGGTGGAAGTCTACCGGGTAAATCATCTCACGATACGAGCATTAGCGGCTCACCGTTTGCTAGAGCTCCTATTGCTCAGTTGCAAAGCCCGTTAGGTCGCTCGGTTGAATCTGTCTCCTCAAAGGGTGGAAACTCAGAGGTCCAGGCCGAACCTTATCACGCTGGGTCGCATCATACTGTGACAAAGCCGTCGGACCTGAGAAACAGTGTTGAACAAGACAACTCGTCACAAGGACCTATAATGGAAGCTGGAGCAGTTGATCAGGACGACACTTCTCAGTTGAAGGTTCCCGTCGGCGTTTCCCGGCTTCATTTAGTGGAGCTACCGAATCTAAAGGTGGAGTTTTCCTCATTTGCTGAGTTCAGGATCTAACAGTGCTGATTGTCCTATAGATGAAACCCATATACTGGAGTCCTCTTCATGATGAATCGAATGTTCTGCGTGCTACTTGGTTTTACAAGAACACAATGCTTCCAGTAGAAACGGAGCTCGCCAACAAGCTCGAGGATGGTTACATTTATCTGAAGCCCTGGACAGATACATGGCAGGATGAGCTCAACAGCTGTGTTGAGAACGGAGCTGACGCGGAAATGAAAATCGTGCACAAACTGTGGCCGAAACCTGATACAAAATCCTACAGCACACCTACTTCACGCCCTGGATCTAGCGCTCAGGTAGGAAATGCAGCTCCGGATTCTGACTCGCCGACGTTCGAAGAAAATCGAGCTGCTGCTGGGACCAACGCACATACCGAAGCCGCCAAGCCCTTTTTGAATTCTAGTGTCATATATGTCGATGGTAGGAATGCTCAAATTCTCAGACCCAGCTTGCTTCCTTCGGCTTCAAGAGGGAGACGACCTCTCAGTTCGATTCGCAAAGGTCGACATATTGGAATACCCGTGGTCCGTGGCTTCAGCCGTCGCTCATGGGAACAGCTACATCCATCTAAACCCAGTCCTGTAGACGTAAGAAATTACCTCCGAATCCAGTCGCGAGCAATGTCCAGGACGGATGGTAGACAAGTCTGCTATGCCTGTGCAATGGAAGGATCTCGACCTACTCCGACGGACTTGGTGTTGGTCATCCATGGCATAGGTCAGAAGCTATCGGAGCGTATGGAGAGCTTCCATTTTACGCATGCAATCAATGCCTTCCGCAGGAATATCAACATGGAGCTCAACAACGAGCCGGTCTGGCATCATGTGCGCCAGGACCATGGCGGGATCATGGCCCTACCCGTCAATTGGCGATCGACGCTATCCCTGGCGGATGGCAGCCTCGAGTCTGAGGGTTCTGATGATCCAACTGCAAATCACTTCTCGCTGGACGACATCACTCCAGAGACAATTCCGGCTGTCAGGTCGTTGATCAGTGATGTCATGCTCGACATTCCCTACTACTTGTCACACCACAAACCGAAGATGATTCAAGCAGTTGTTAAAGAAGCGAATCGAGTATTTCGACTGTGGTGCAGGAACAACCCCGGGTTCCAGCAGCACGGTCGTGTGCACCTGATTGCACACTCTCTGGGAAGCGCTATGGCTATAGATATTCTCAGTCATCAGCCGACCAACCTACCAGACTTTGATTTCGCAACGACGAGCATCCACAGTGATATTTTCGAGTTTGATACGAAGAATCTTTTCCTTTGCGGTAGTCCTGTCGGCTTTTTCTTGCTCTTGAATAAAGGTGTGTTGGATTTATGGATTAGACAGATTGTTCTACTGGACACCTGCTAACGAACTTTACAGCAAGCCTCTTGCCACGGCGAGGTAGAGATAAGCCCGGCTACGAAGGCGAAGATCGACTTCGTGGTGTTGCAGACGAGGCAGACACTTATGGCTGTTTGGCCGTTGACAATCTCTACAACATCATGCATACTACAGACCGTAAGCCCATCCTTATTTGCCATTGTAATCGAATGTAATGGTTGACTCTATCAGCAATCGCATATCGTGTCAATGCCGCAGTGGACGTTGACCTTGCCAATTCTCTAAAGGCCGCTTCAATACCAGGCATTTCCGCCTCCTTCTGGGAGTCGTTGAGCAGTGTCTTTCGCTGGAGCACATCTACTGCTTCCGCGCCTATTCGTCCTGCCACCATTGCCAAGCTCCCTTCCAACGTGGAAATGGAGACACATGATTTCACACGCGAGGAGATTGCAGAAAAACGCATGTTACTCCTTAACGATAACGGCCAAATAGACTATTTCATTTCCGGCGGTGGCGGACCACTGAACATTCAATATCTGAACATGCTGAGTGCGCATAGCAGTTACTGGATCCTAGCAGATTTTGTTCGCTTCATCGTCATAGAGATAGCCCGCGAGCAGGGGAGGGAATCGACGCTGCCGGCGTTCAGGGCAGAGAAGAAGAAGGGGTGGAAGATACATAAAGGTTGATAGATTAGAGATAATAATTTCGTTACTGGCGTTGGCGTTGGAGGTCTAATCTCCTGAGATACCTACATATTGGCGGATTGCAGCGAAGTATCTTCTTGTGGAGATGCTGAGGAAACGTTATCTTTATTGTCTTCACTCCGAGTATCATTGTACCTTAGCCACGAGACTATCATATACGTTCGTAGCAGACTCGTCGCACCAGTCTACGCCTCGGGCACCACATTGCTGAGCATCAGAGCCTCCTCTAGAGTACCCTTGTCCACCTTCCCACTTCCCGGCTGAAGTACCAACAGCGCGTTCGCACTCGCAAGACTTCCCACTCTTGAGCTCCGCTGGCCAACACCCTCGAGGCCGGTACTCGTAGCATACAGCCGGCCATCGGAGCGCGAGGCAGTGACAATGGCACGGTGGTACTCTGTGCGCTTAGGATCAAGCGGGAACGGATGCGCCAGCATGACAGACACAAGAGGCAGCCCCAGCGCAGGCGTCATTCCCGGCGCAGTCCGTCTCTGCCCCATTCCCATCAACTTGTGCAGCGATGGAAGCACGAACAGATTCAGCGTCACCAGCGCCGAAGCGGGGTTCCCCGGCAGGGAGAAGATGAGTTTCGACTCGCGCTCCTGCTGCGCGGAGCCAGTCGCCGACGAGGGCTTGAATGGGATCGTTGCGAACGTCGTCGGCTTACCCGGTTTCATTGAGACGCGGCCGAAGTGGATGGTGCCGCCGAGCGAGCGCTCGATGGTCGGCTTGAGCAGGTCCAGCTCGCCCATTGAGACACCGCCTGTGGTGACGATCACGTCGACGCTGGTGCTTGCCCGCCCTACGCCGCGGAGGGCGTCGCGGAGGACGTTTTCGAGTTCTGTGGGTGGTGTGTCGCGCGCGATTCCCAGGTCTACTATGGGGAATCCCCATGAGGACAAGCAGGAGAGGAGCGAGGGGCGGTTGGAGTCGCGGATCTGGCCGCCGTGGAGCTTGGCTGGGTCGTTGTGTTCGACTAGCTCGTCGCCGGTGCTGAGCACGCCCACGCAGGGCTTCTTGTATACCTTGACGGTCTTGGTTCCTGTTGCTGCGAGAAGGCCGATTTCACCCCCGACGGATGTTATTAGGTCGCCTTTTGAAAGGATTTTGGAGCCTAGCGCGACGTCACTGCCTGGTTCA